CTTGGAGGCAAGGATGATGACGTTTGTCGTACATACTTTGGACATGTTGTTAGGAAAGGCTATTCTTTGGAGAAGGACATCATGCTGGGGAAGGTGGAGTGGTGGCGAAGGAGAGGAAGACTCTCAGCCAGGTGGACTGATACAGTGACTACAGCAATGGGCTTGAGTGCGTCAGGGATTGTGAGGTTGGCACAGGATGGGGTTAAGATCTGTAAGCTGTACTTAACTAGATGGCACCGACTAAGAAGTAACTTTTAATGTTTTGAAGTAGACTCTGTGGAACCTAACAACAGCAACAATTAGGACATCAATAACACCAGAGAAGTCTGCACCCCCTTTAGGATAGAACAATCAACCAGACAAGATCAAAACGGCAGCATTTGCCCTTCCATAAGACTCAAAAGGCAGAGAGGGATAGCAAAAAATGATAAATGGGAATAGGAAACATGGATGTGAGAAGAATGTTGTTACAAGGTGGGGATTTATAATCAATGTCAAGAAACATAATGTGCATTTTAAAACAAACAAAAAACCTTGCTCAAGATTACTCAGATAGTAAGCAGCAAAATGAAGCTTCACATCCAGAACCTTTGCCTCCAAGGTATATAAACTCCTAGCAGCTTTGCTAGAATTTAAAAAGAGAGATTACTAACATCATTAACCTTTTCCAAAACAAAAGTATTCTATTTTCCAAAGAGTTTTCCATTCATAAGAACCATTGAAAGTAGAGTGGGAGGAGGGAGCTTTTGTTTCCACAATTAACACTCTCCCATATAGAATCTGTCACTTCTGAGCTGCTCCTCAATGCCTGTCTCTAGATTGCTCCAGGATATTTTCCTCCCCAAACCCAAGCTTTAGCCCTTGAATTGACAGAGAAGATAAAACATATACCAGGTGGTGTCTCTCACTGTTCTCCCTTCATCAACACTCACGCAGCCCTAATAGCCAGTAACTAATGTCCCTCCTGAAGTCTCTGACAATGAAGTGGGCAAACAACAAATGCTGGCTGGTTTGGCTGTGGAGACACTGGAACTTTTACTCACTACTGATAGTATTGTAAAAGGGTACAGCCACTATGGAAGGCAGTCTGGTGCTTTCTCAAAAAGTTGGAAATAAAAATACCATTTAACCTAGCAATCTCACTACTGGGAATATACCCTAAAGAAACCAGGGCTATAATTCAGATGTATACACACCCAAGTTTATTGCTGCGTTATTCACAATAGCAAGGAGATTGAAGCAACCCATTAACAACCCATCAACAAATGAATGGACAGAAAAACTATGGTACATTCACAATAGAATATTATGCAGCCTTGAAAAAAATGAATTTGTAAAACATTGTACAATATAGGGGAGCCTGGAGGACATGCTCAGTGAAATATCTCAGTCATAAAAGGACAAATAATGCATAACCCCACTATTATAAAATAGGACAGACATGGGGGATTGGGGAGAGAGCAGGAAGAGTGGACTGATAATGAAAACAGCATTAGGCAGATGATGAGAAGAACTGTCTGAAAGGAATATATGATTATGCATTATATGTATGAGAACAATCTGGAAGAAGAGGTGCATTGTGGGCAGGGATAGACGAGGGGGAGAGGAGGGAGAAATGTGAAAAAAACTGAAATAAAACATTTTCTGTGTTAAAAAAGAAAATAAGGTAGGAATTCCTTTCTCCTCATTTAAACTGATTCACTGAAGTATTAAAGGCACTTTTAAGCACCAAGTACTAGGAATACTAAAATGACACACACAGCTTCCCCTCTGGGAACTGACAGGGGAACAAGGAAGACAGATAAGCAAAGAGGCCTAATGAACCTTACCTCATCTGTCACTGTTGGTTTTACTTATTAAATACATATCATTACATTACAGGCAGTCTCTGGGTTATAAACACCCAATTAAGCACAACCTGTAATTATAAATCAAAAGCTGTAAAGCCTTTTTTATTAAAATTCAAAGTACAATAGAAAACTTTATTTGTCAATAAATTTTAGCTCAAATCACAACAAAAATTTTTCAAAATTGAGGTACATACTATGGGTCATAACAAATGGATGCTACTTTTCAACACATGTTTTAAAAAATCATTATTACTATAATGTTATGATAAAGATGTTTTAGTGTATGTGGAAGTGTTTCTTCAGTTTTGGGAGGATTTTATGCATAAAAAGGTACAGTATATACTAAAAAATTTTACCAACTGATATTAGGTATGAGGCATTAGAATACCTAACTATTTCAATTTGCATAGAAGTTCAACTAAAAAAAATGTATTTGTAATTCAGGGACTCTGTAACACTTATACGTTGTTGCTGCTGTTATTGTTGTTAGGAGTTGAGCATGACTCATAACAACCCTAAGAACAAAAGATGTGAACCCTGTTTTATCCTGCGCCATCCTCATACTTCTTGACATGCAAGAGCCCATTGAAGTAGGCACCATATCAATCCACCTGGTTGAGGGTCTTCCTCTCCTTTGCTGAACTTCCACCTTTACCAACATCACGAACCTCTCCAAGGACTAGCACCTCTTAGCAACATGTCCAAAGTACCTGAGGCAAAGCCTCATCATCCTTCCCTCCAAAGAGCACTTCTCCTGTACCATCTCCAATACATGTCCGTTCCTTTCTTGGCCGTCCATGGGATCTTCAGTGCTCCTCTCCAACACCACAGCTCAAAGGTGTCCATTCTTTTTCTGTCATCCTTATTCATTGTCCAAGTCTCAGATGCATAGCTAGTAATCAGAATGACTATGGCCTGAATCAGACACACTTTAGTCCTCAAACTGACATCACTACTTCTCAATAATTTGGAAAGGTCCCTAACTGAAGATTTTCCCAGTGCAATGTGTTTCCTTATTTCCTGACTGCGCGTACCAAGGGTGCTAACTATGGATCCAAGCAAGATGAAACTGTTGACAGTTTCAATCTCCTCTCCATCCATCATGACACTGCCTATTGATCCAGTGGTAAGAATCTTTGTTTTCTTGATATTGAGATGCAATCCATACTGAAGGCTTCATTCCTTGATCTTCTGCAACAAGTGTTTCAAGTCCTCCTCACTTTCAGCAATTAAGGTGTGTCATCTGCATAATGCAGGTTATTGATGAGTCTCCCTCCAATCCTGATGATTCATACCTCTTCACTGAGTCCAGCTTCTCATAAAATTTGCTCAGCATATAGATTAAACAAGTAAGGATTAGGGTTTTGTTTTCTTTTTTTTTTTTTCCTTTATGCTTAAGCAGTTTTGTGGGGCATATTTTTGGTTGGGTTGGCAAAACACCTTACCATTTTGTACTTGTTGTTGTAGTTGTACTTCTAACATTCATAAAAGTACAAAATTGGCATATATGTAAATTGACCATATAGACATATCTCACTAATTTTCTGACTAAAAATGTCACCCTCATTCCTAGGGATAATAATCTAGATGGTCTAGAATCTTCCACAAGTGAAATTATCTCTACAAAATACCAACACTGTCCAACTCTTTCATTGTCAGAGTAAATTTTTATGATTTGTGTACTCTTTTCAATGTATGAGTATATTAAAATGTATCTGTAAGTTTACATGTAACATTTCCAGGTTCCAAAGACAACAAAGATTGGATTTATAATGGTATTGATACTAAAAGACTAATAATAAGATACTAAAAAACTAAGAATAATAACTAATAATAAATACTAAAAAAAAATCCAACCCACTCAACTATTCAACACATCAGAATCAGCTTACAATGAAGTAGTCATCAGAAAGGAGCTCCATCCTAAGTCAGGGACCACCTACACTTTGCATTTTGTTCCTGGTTACAAGTGTGCATGATTATCTTCCCATGTCTTTATCAACCACTGTTCACCCTTGGTCTTGATTTGGTGGTTCTGATCTTTGTTTCCCCTTTGTAGTGGGTTGTTTAGTTTTCATTTGTGTAATTGCTGCTTTCTCTCTAATAAGATGCCACAAAAATATTCTCTTCTGTTTTCTTACTAATTTAACAGGTTAGCATCTCACATTTGGGTCTTTAATTCATCTGGAATATTTTGTGTGTATTTTATCTTTTTAATAATTTCTTTTTTACTGTTAGTGGCACTCGCTGAGATAAAAGAGTTTTTATAGATTCCCTACTGTTATGAAAAAGCGGGAGAAAGAAGGGCAATCTCCTCCTGTGCAACTTGTTGTTGCTGCTGTTAAGTACCGTCGAGTCATAGACAACTCATAGTGACCCTATGAATGAAAAATCTGAACACTTATGTAACTTTTGTTATTTCTCCATGTTCATTGAGCCATATTGGAAGTGGATGTCAATCCTGCTTCCAAGCTTGTTTTATTCAGGAAGCTCCACCAAACACTGTCCACCATGGGTAACCATTAAGCATTTGACACATCAGCTACGGGTTGGTTCCAACTCAACAACACACAACTATTAAAAATGCTCAAACAACCCAAATTCTGAAAAGATCTTCTTCACTTAGAAAGTGCTCTCATCAACACTACTGAAGAATGGCCTTCCTCCTATGGAAGCCAGATCCGTGTGCTAATGACCAGGCTATGGGTCTCCACTACACAGGCGCCCCTAGAAGGTACATACACGATCTTAGTCCATCATCCTCAGTCCCTGACGTCACAGCTCAAACAATGAGCGTAAGAGTAGATGAACGAAGGGTACACATTACTGAACTCTAACAAATCTCAACAAAGTTAGCTCGTAACTCAGGTACCCATCATGCTGAAATGGTTGAATGAAAAAAAGACAAGGAAAATAGTTATTTTAAAGAGGGGATAAAGCTATTTTATCCTTACTAGAAAAAATTCCCTGGAAAGACAAACAATAGAAACTATTCTCTGATTTCATTCTGCATAACATTATGGTTACAGTCTTAAGATCTTCAAAAGAACATTTTATCCAACTGCAGAGTAGTAGCGAGATGTCTAGCCAAGTGCTAGACCACAATTTCAAGTAGCACAAAAGCTGTACCTGAACGGAAGGTAGGGGGGATTTGAGCCAGAGAGGAGTAGCCTGTAGGCTTCTTCTGGAGTCTTCTTTAAATAGATTACCTAAGATAGATAAACAGCAACATTTAGAATACCAACAAAGAATGGCACAAAATCATTTAATTACTCACCAAATTGGCACTTGAGGTCTTCCACATAACAGGACAAGCATCATGGTGATGATGGTGATTGTTAGACTGCAACCAAACTGCCAAATTTCCTTTTTGCCATGAAACTGAGCATCAGCTTTTGATTTAAGGATGGATTAGGAGCTTTGAGACAGAGGGATCTAAAAGAAAACCTTCAAACTCATGGCTATCAAGTCAGAATGGACTCACAGCTGGCCCTCCAGTGGGTTTTAGTTGTTGTTGTATATTGCCGAGTGAGGACCAACCCATAGCTGACCTTCCAGAGGGTTTTCAGAGGCAGTTAATCACAGGGGAGGAGACTGCCCACTTTTCTCTTGTAAAGCAGCTGGTGGAGTTGAACCGTGTGACTTTGGGATTGCAGTGCAGCTTCTAACCAGTAGGCCACCAGAGCTCCTAGTGGGTTTTTAGAGGCTGTAAATTACAAAGGAGGAGACTGTCCATCTTTCTCCTGTAGAGCACCTGATGGATTCAAACCGTCCACCTTTGGATTGGCAGCCCAACTCTTCACCCACTAGGTCACCAGAGCTCCCTGGAGACAGAAGGCAGAGCCATAAAAAGGCTATCCAGAGCCTGTGTACAAGGATGCAGGGCACAGAGACAAGGGCTAGGAGAAGAAAGCAGATAGTTCTACACCTACTGTTGGATTGTGTGCTCACCAAAAAGACCAGAACATTCATAAAAGGCCTTGTCATTCATAAAAGGTCTGCAGCAACGTAATGTAGTGCTTCATGAAATCTTAGCACAAATCCCTCTGGGAGACTTAGTTCTCTGCTCTGAGGAAAGCCAACACTGCCTGCTAGTGGGTCAATAAAACTATAGGGATACTAGTGAGGATATGTGCTGTAAGAGCACTGGAAACATTTCGGCTCAGCTCTGGATGCTTAAATCTTTCGTCCAGCAGGATGAAATAATCTTCAACAAAAGGAAGCCCTTCAAATCAGTGAACAGTTCTAACATATGCCAGGCATTGTATTCCATACTGATGCTTCTCTTAATAGGATTTATAGTCTAGTAGGGCAAGGATAATAATTAATGTTTAATTAATTATAAATAATTAATTGCAGAAGTAAATACAATCTAAGGGCTTACAAAAGGAAATAAGCAGGACTACTTGAGGTGAGGTCGTCAGGGGAGAGTCTAGGGGAAAGACCTCGGGGTAACACTACCAGAGAGATCTGTAAGGAGATACAGTGAGCAAATGGCAGAAGAAAAGGGTTTGGGGGGCAGTGCAATGGGCAAGGGTGAGGTCCTTGAAAAGTTTAGTGAATTGACAGAGCAAAGACCAGTGAGGCTAACAAAGGAGGCAGGAACAAAGGACAAAGCAGAGGCCAGGCATGCAGAGCAGTGTAAACCATGAGGAGAGATTCGTCTTTGAAATGTCGTTTAAAATTTTCATTCTCAGCTGAAGATACTGGCCCTTTCACTCTATAGTTTGAATCTAATTTGATTCCCAAATCCTTCTTAGGTAGAATGAATCATGTTATTCCCTTAATTTCAAAATCCTATTAATTTCGGCTGTAATTCATTAGTTCCATTAATCAACAGCAATTAATGTAAAAGAAAATGACCATTGATGACTGCATGAAAAACAAATGGAATTTGTAAACCTTCACTCAAGTGAAAAATTCATTTTAAAGAATTTTATGCATTTCATGGACACACATAGCTTTACAAGCTTCCTTGTGCTCTGAGCTATTGTGACTGCTATGTACATGATTTCAGGACTGGGAATTACTGGAATTCTGAATTCTGTAAAGAAGGAAGATTAAAATGAGTAGGTAAAAGATTATCAACAATATTTCAAAAGGCTTCAAAATTAATAAGAAAATAAGCATTTGACAAAATAAATATGCAGGCCTGATAAAATACACACCAGCCAAAGTGAACCAGGTACGAAACAGTAGCTCAGAAAATGAAACCACAGTAGCAGTGCCTGTCTAGACACAGATCCTACAAAGGGCCACTCACTCTCTAGTTGCACCTCAAATAATTATACAAAACTGTTTAAACCAACTCTTGCTTGAAAAACATCATTTCAAATAGCCCATTATTAAAACAAAAGGCATAGCTAACGACTTCTTAAGCCTGAAAATGCTGCAAGACATTAAACTTGACTGTGGCTGCTAAAAGGAGCCCTGGGAGCTCAATAGTTAAACGCTCAGGGATGAACCAAAAGACTGGCCCCTGAAACCCACCAAGTGGTTCTGGAGACTCACTGTGTCACTGCAAATTGATAAAGTGACTTTACAGCCCCTGAAAACCAACAATAACAATACAGCCCCTAAGAGATAAACCTGCTTGTAGAAAGCGTCTGTGTTTGGACTAGGTAATAAAAGCTTATTCAACAATCTTTGAAAAGCACAAACTCCTTAGGAGCATTTGTGCTAATTTCCCCTAACTTTGTGGCTGTCACTCTGCAGGAGGGCAACTCCAGCCAGGCCCACCAGGAGGGGGGCCACTTTAACGAGGCTGTCCTCAGGGTACTGGTGCTCATCTTACCTGCATGACTTAGCACACTAGACCATGTTCTCACACTGTAAGATGAGAGGCTGTGTTTTTATTTTTATCCCAGTGCTAAAATATTGATAAGTGTAAATTGAAACCCAACAGAGGCCATCTAAATTCCAGGAAGACTCTGGGGCAGGTAAATGACCTCTTACAACCTGCTGCTGGGTACTGGAGAGACAGACTATATTCTCCTGGTAATAAGTTTATTACAAAGGACATGAACACTGGCATGATTAGATACCGAATTCCACTTTTCTAGGGCAAAACATGTCATATATTCTCACATCAGATCTTCTTTGATGGATCTCTTTATTAAACAGGCAAAGGGAGAGAAGACAGACTAGGTCTGATCAAAGCACAGAAGAAAATAACATGTATTACACCTTGCTGTTGAGGAATGTAAAGCTCAAAAAGGCAAGAAACCTTCCCAAACTCATACCCCTGCTCTGAGAGGGTATCTGAAGTCGAGCACAGATCAGGACTCTGTCAGGACCGTGCACTTCCCATTGCTCAGAAGTCCCTTTCTCTTCCCATAACTCTCCCCACTGGCTCTCTTTTTGCAGATCCCACCCTAAGTGTTACTCTGAGACTCTTAACTCCTGGCTGCCACATTTCAAGTAGCCCACTGCTTGGTGTGCCTTCAAGTCTCCTGTGACTCAGAGCGACCCAACGCATAACAGGTCTGAACCACGCCCTATCTTGAGTCAATCTCACTGTTTGTAACAAACCTATCCTCATTACCCCAGTTATTGTGTCAATCCATCTCATTCCGGGGCTTCCTCTCCTGTGCTGTCCCTCCACCCTTCCAAGCATGATGTCCCTCTTCAAGGAGTGGTTCCTCCAGACTACATGCTGGAGACAGAGCTTCAAAAATCCTTGCCTCCAAGGAGCAGCAGCCTGGTTTCATCCTCTCCAGGACTGACTTGTTTATTCTCTTGGTGGTTCATGGCATGTTTAATACTCTTCTCCCGCACTACAACTCAAAGGCATAAATTGTTCTGTCATCCTTACTAATTGTTCTGTTCTCTGATGCATAGCAAGTAACTGCAAAGACCGTGAACTGGATCAGGCACATCTTAGTCTCTAGACTGACATCACTGCTCTTTGGTACTCTGGAGAGGTCGCTGACAGCACATTTTCCCAGTGCAATTCACCTTTTGAGTTCCTGACTGCTGGTGCCAAGAGTGTTGACTGCAGAACCAAGCAAGTTGAAATTGTTAACAATCTCAATCTCTTCTCCATGATAATGATGCTGTTAAAACTGCTCTCCAAGTCCACAGTTATCTCAGACCTCATATTCACTTGAAAATACAAACCTACACCACAAAAGCACAGAACTAGAAGAAAAATATCCCCTATTCTTCCCTTTTATAAAAATGACTTTAAAATCTAGGTGACTTCAAATTGTCAACCAGTCAGTTTCTGAGAAGCAGAGTTTAGTGGAAAGTTTCCTGTATTTACAGCCTAAAAAAACCCCTGGAGCGTCCATATAAATGGAAATCAGTTTGAGGGCAGTGGTTTGGCTTGGGCTTTAGGGGTACTTCTACTTTAAAGTGAGCTTTGGTGGCCTAGGGAGTTGTCACCAAATAAAAGATAGGCTGTTTGAATCTATCAAATAAAAGACAAGCTGTTTTGCAGGAGAAAGAGGGGCAGTCCCCTCTGGTTCAATTTACACCCTCTAAAAAGTCAGCAAGGGGTCAGTTCCAACTCCACAGCAATGAGTTTGAATTTTTTCTGTTTTACACCTCCACAATGGTTTTTTTTCCCCCCAGATATGTATCCACTTGCTTTTTAAGTGTGAAGCAATAAAAATCAATAAAAATCAATAAAATGTTAAATGTTTACTCTTTTTAAAAAAATAAAACCAATAAAATCTGCATTTCACACTTGAAAATGTTTCCAGATTCTTAAATATTTCTAAAACTATTTTAGGCGAGCTCTGGTGGTCTAGTGGCAGGAGGCTGCGCTGCAGTCCCGCAGGTGTGCGGTTCAAATCCACCAGATGCTCTGCTGGAGAGGGAGAAACAGTCTCCTCCTGTACCAGTCAAATCTGATTTGACGGTATACACACATAAATAATGATAAAAAAAAGAAAAAAGAAAAAAACTATTTTAATACAGTTCTTTCCAAACATCATCTAGGTATCCTGACTTTTCCACTCTCACTCAGTCACTCACTCCTCATCGACCCTCCATTGGGTTTCTGCGGCTGTAAATGGACCAGGAAGAAGACCACTCATCTCTCTCCCTCAGGCCTGCTGCAGCAGGGCTCAAACCTCTGGGGCCTCCAAGTCTTGATTAGTACAGTACCTTGCTAAGGACTACGCCACAAGAGCTTCTTGTTCTTCTGCTCTAAGCAGGGAAAATATGTTGACTACTCTCACTAGATACCACTCTTTATAAACCA